TCATCACTACCAGATGCTAATGTAGTACCATCAGGAGAGAAATTGACTGACATAACATAATTAGAATGACCATCTAATTTTACCTTCTATTATCCTGTCTTAACATCCCATAAACGGATAGAGTTATCATAACTACCAGATGCTAATGTAGTACCATCAGGAGAGTAACAAATTGAATACACTGTATCAGAATGACCATCTAATTTGGCTTTTTATTATCCTGTCTCAACATCCCATAAACGGATAGAGTTATCATGACCACCAGATGCTAATGTAGTACCATTAGGAGAATAACAAATTGTATTAACCCTATCTGAATGACCCTCTAATTTGGCTTTTTATGATCCTGTCATAACATCCCATAAACGGATAGAGTTATCATCGCTGCCAGATGCTAATGTAGTACCATTAGGAGAATAACAAATTATATTAACCCTATCTGAATGACCATCTAATTTGGCTTTTTATGATCCTGTCTTAACATCCCATAAACGGGTAGACTTATCATCACTACCAGATACTAAAGTAGTACCATCTGAAGAGAAACAAGGTGATTTAACTAAGTCTAAGTCACTATCTAATTTATTTAACTCAATTATTTTGATATTCTTCCATTTGCAATTAAATAAACAAGCTTAGCTCAAGTTTATTCCACCGATGTCTACATTATCAAATTCAGATCCATTGAAATTGCATCTTACAAAATTTCCTCCAATTAAAGAAGTGTCTCTTATTCTGATATTCTCAAAATTCTATCCCTTCAAATCCACCTTCATTTCCACTAATAAATTGAGTGAATTGGATCCACATTAGATAAAGTTGGAATCAAAAACTGTCAAGTATACTAGAAATTTCAAAAATTTAATAATGTGCTAATCATTTGAAATTTGTTAGATCAAATTAGCCCTAATTTATTCATATTTTTCAGTTGAATAATTCTTTGTATTAAAGTCTATTTCGCTAATATTTTTTAAAACATTAGTGACCACCTTAAGGCTTAATTAATCTTAATTCGTGTTTTTCCAAAAATTTAAAAGAAATGATAAAATATTCATATTTTACTCTTTTCTAAACATTCCTAGAACCACCTAAAGGAATTATTCATCAATATATTTTGTTCTAGCTAATACTTCATACAAATCTTCTTTTCTTTCATAACCTAATGTTATTCCATAAATAATCTCCTCCATTTCCTTCTTTATATTTTCACAAAAGGTTTTAGCTTGTTCTTCCAATATTGCCTTTTTATTATCCAACTTCTTCAAATAATAATTTTTCTAATTAATCCATTCATCTATATTGTTTCCCATTAGTACTTAGACTAATTTTTCTAAGTTAGTGTTGGACAAATAGGTAGGAATCTAATTGTTGTTAAGGATTTTCAAATAAAATTCCTCTCTCAGCTCTACAATATCATATAGCTATTTCAATGATTCTTCGAACTCATCCTAAATTTTTTTTAACAAAGTAGTCATTGAATTTAAATTCATTTTTAGTGTTGCTAATTCAATTTATAATTCTTTCAATTTCTTCTCAACCTTCTTTTGAAAAGTATTGAAAGGAACGATGTCTTTTTTTTCCACCTCATGTTCGTATAAACATTCAATACAAAGCTTTCTTTCAAATTCGCACTTATGGGGAGCCATACATACCATCAACAATTTATTTTAAATAAATTACTAATTGAAATAAATTGAATGTAAATTTGGTTTCAATTACTTTATAATAATAAAATTATGCTTAATGTTGGAAAAAATATTCTTTGAATAACAATTTAACATTAAGTAAGAAAATTTAAAGAATTATTCATTTAGGAGTTAATGTGAAATGGTTTAAGAATAAACAATTAAACTTTTTAAAAATAATGAACTTTTTTATAAGTTATCTTTAGGAAGGCTATTACTTCAATTCTGTCTGCTCTGTGAATATGAAGAATCCGAAGAATGGAGAAATTTTATATCCTAAACAGGTATATTTCATTTACATGATTGAACAAGAAAAATTTGTGATACACTCTACAGCTGAATTTAAAATATAAGCAAACAGAATAAAAGATAATTTTACGTAATAAAGGGATTAAATTTATTCAACAAATCTTTTTAAATACGTATGATATTTTTTTAATAATAATCAATCTTATTCAAATTATTTACGGTTTTCTGAAATCAAGCTTCCTTTAGATTTGAATAAGGGTATTAAATTTTAACCTGAATAATTTTCAAATACTCCTTTCAAAATAAAAGCTCCTTAAGCTTCCAAAATTGGATTTTGACATATTCGTAGTATTGTTCGATCAATCTCAGCTAAAGAATAATATTAAAAAATACTATTGTTTAAAATTGGCTGACTTTAAAGTGGTAATTTATACTAAGAAAGAAGGTCTTGGTAACAATTATTTTGGGGTAGAATCTTTTATGCTATCTTAACATCCCATAAACGGATAGAGTTATCCCAACTACCAGATGCTAATGTAGTACCATCAGGAGAGTAACAAATTGAATAAACTGTATTTAAATGACCATTTAATTTTGCTTTTTATTATCCTGTCTTAACATCCCATAAACAGATTGGGCTATCCCAACCACCAGATGCTAATGTAGTACCATCAGGAGAGTAACAAATTGAATAAACCCATGATGAATGACCATCTAATTTGGCTTTTTATTATCCTGTCTTAACATCCCATAAACGGATAGA